TGGTATTTTTTTCAGATTTTATTTTTCATTCTTTTCGTCTGTTTTTTCGAGTTTAAAAAATGTGAGCTGGCTGGAGCCTTCATCCCTTGTCTATTTCTTACACTAGATACCAGCCGATAACCCCCCCCCCCCCGCTCATAGACACTGCGTACTACAGTTGATTATAGTTCCTGGGCTCCCTGTGGTCTAATAAGGTAGAATAAAAAAAAATCTAAGTTCAGTCTTGTTGCGTATATTCGCGAGGCAATATTCAAAAGCTAGCGCGAACTATTTTACGAATTTATAGAAAAAAGAATATTTTTCAACATGGCTGTGATTCTGATTATATAATTGTTTATGAAAGTTGATTACATCGGTCAGTGTTAACTGAAGGTACAGGCAGTATAATGAGATCACTATCTCGGATTAAACCCATTATACATTTAAATTTTTAAAGATACACTAGCTGTAACGACCTAGTTTTTTTTATTGCAAACGTGTTCTACATGAATAGCAATTATTTCCGTTCTATTAGCTGAAACTAGTTCAATTATTTGGTACCGGGCCCTTCTGTATGCTTTATAAGCTCGCTAAAAGCACTGAATCAACATCGTGAAGTGTTTATTGTACGTACCCTAACCTCCGTTTGTTAAACCATCATACGTCATTACTGATTGTTTGCGCGTGCGCAATTCCGAGTACTTCGTTGTGTCGTCACCGGAAGCGCTGTCCCAGCATAAACCTGTGTCATATGACGCCTTACTAGCCGATTTTGGCTAAAATTCCGCTCCGCCGCCTCTTTACAACAGTGTTTATACGCGGAACTTGATATTGCTTTTTACAATTTGGGTTGCCTTTGAATCACATATTTTAGTGAAATATTGTCCGGTATCAACTAGTTCGAAAATAGAACGTCCTTGAGCGCGATAAAATGACGCGTAGAACTCCATCCGAACCAGTGTAAACTTATTGCAATTTGTGCGATTTGGGCCCAGTTTGTTCTTACAAGCTTTCTAAGTTTCATTTATCATTATTTAGTAAACAGGTCTCTGAAACGATTTAATATATCCGTAAAATACGTGGCAATCGACAATTGACTTCGAAACGTTCGAAATTTCGAACAAACTCCCGGCACACCTAGCGCGATATGCGTCAGATCGGTGTAGAAGACGCCGAACTGCAGCGTCAATACAGTCAGACCACCTAGAAATATGGCGTTGAGTTCGATCGTGAGCATTTTCTCCGCATTCGTATCCGCACAGAGATCGATGTAAATTTTATTATAACAGGAGATAAGCAATTTAAAAGATAAATGCAACAAGTTTTCAACCCAAAATAGTTATTTAGAACGCCGTTAGAAACGTTTTCATTACAGCTACTGGGCCTTTTAAGGGACGACGTCAAAAGATCGATGTCGTCCCTAAAAAGTTAGTGAAATAAAACAGAGGCATTAACAGTATTTACTGTTTTTTATTACATGGACAATTTATGTGTTTTTTTATTTGGTTTATATAATTGAAAGCCAAAAAAATTATAAAATTGGGAGACTTTGGAATTGATTATACTTCCCATTAGATTTGGTGTCAAAAGCGATGTTTTGTGGCATAGTTGTATTCATAAGCTCTACTGCGCCATCTACGGCACAAGTGACAATTTGTTGGAAAAAACAGAATGAAAGGCAATTCCCGTAAGAAATTCCGGTTCAAACTTCAAAACTTCATCAGGGAGGTATAGATGTCTATTTGCCAAAAACGATCAACAGCTTATTTAAAATTGGAAGAGAGTTCCAAAAGTTTATTTATTCGCTTGTAATGTTTTTTTGGCTGACTGTGTTATCTGGTGGTGGTGTATGTAACACGTTGGAACAAACTTGATGAGTCAATACGGTAAATTCCATTCATGAACTTGAATCACGTCTTTCTGCTTAGACGATAGACTAGTGGTGGCTGATTGAGTCTGCGTAGACGTTCTTCATACAGTAAGTTCAGGTGTTGGCTTAGTAGCCCAATTTCAATTTCAATAATGTGTGTAGTGAAACGCCCGGGTACTTACGTCAGCACACACCCCTACGTATTTCCAGACAGCCAAAATGTAAAAAAAAAAAAAAAAAAAAAATACCCCTTTCCAGTCAATTTGCTAAAAATATACACCGCTTCTCAGACTTTTACACCAGTGATGAATCACACATCAAGTTATTTTTCGGCCAGAATTAACGTTTTTTATGTCTTGAACGAAGTTTTCAAGTGATTTTTGAGCTTTATATTTATAATTTCAGTAATCACAGAATGCTGAAATCGTAGACACCTTTCCATCGATACACTTTGGCTCACAAAGAAGCCCCTTCCGGTGGCACATGTCTCAATAGCTTTTCTACTGAGTACGTACCTCCTTCCGGGAGTGAAACGCAATGTTATAGCCAGCGACGTAAAAGCCTGTGTACAGTACTTTCATCCACTGTAGTAAATGTTGATCTGTTAAGACCTATCATTCTTGATGATATGTGAATAAATTGCAAACTTTAATTCTATATCGATAATAACTTGTAATAACAAAATTGTGTTTATGTCATCTGCTGTCAGTACAAATATGATAATTTCATAATTTACCTTAGGGCTAGTATAGGTGCATAATTTTACGTTTAATTTCATTAAAACCAGTTAATCAGTTTATAAAGATGTGCTTGCAACCTAGCGGAGACACTGTCACTGTGCCAAAATACATTTGTGTCAGCGGCAAATATGCATTTGCCGAACTATCAACAGATTTAGGTAAGTCATTGGCGAAAATAACAAAAACTACTGGTTCAATCACACTTTCCTGGGGGGTGTCCCACTTAAAACATCAGTCCATGGAGATGATTCACTGTCAATCACAACACTTTGTTTGCGATCAATCAAAAACCACTGAATTCAGTCCTTCAATGAATAAGATGTACCATATGATTCAAGTTTAGTCAACAAACGCCCGTGATTTGGTAAAACACAGACTTTGAAAACACTTCGGATCCTGGAGGTATAAACAGATATTTGTTTAGCGGTATCCATGGTCGGATTGAGAATTTCTTCAACACATGCTGCGATGTAATCTTGACAGCCCTCGGCGGAGGTCGGCGGAGGTCGGCGGAGGTCGGCGGCAAGGATCAGATTTTCCGAAATAATTTCTTTGGTGAGCACGCTACCGTTTTTCTCAACATTATTGGCGATGTTGTTATTTTGCGACATAATACCACCCAACTTTGATTTGGGCTACATTTGAGTTTGAACGTTTTAGGCGGCTTCTTAATATTATATACAAGGTATCTTTCAAATGTTTCATGTAAATTCATAGTCGAGTTAGTAAGTTCGCCTTTTTTTTGCTGTGCACAAGCGCAACATTTCTTTTCTTTACTTTTGTCCGTAACATTCCTGTTCATCTATACTTCATGCAATTCAACACTGATGGGTTTTGATTTGGGTATATAATTGTCAATAGTTTCTCAGATAAAAAAGATCTAAGTATCCACCTTCAGGTCAATCCCTTGGCGAGAGTTCAGCATATTATTGATTACTACAGGCACATTTATAAAAGACAATGCAAAGCCTAGTTCCGGTAAATAGTGTACGTTCGAAATTGTTCTAATGAAGTATTAGCACATTAATTACAACGATAACGAGTTGGATTGGCGAAGACCTGATAGAAAAATGAGCATTAATGAAAAATTTACTTTCGTGTTTTTCTTTTAAAAGATGTAACTGTGGTCCAATCGATGCCAGGATAGTTACATGTAAAAAGGCCGGTAATAATCACACGATTGAACATATTCAAAGTCGGCAGTGCAATTAATATTTTACTTGCAGAGTGATGTTGCAGACTTAAATTCGATATTCCAAAATTAAAAAGAAAATCCAATTACTTACATAATATTTTAATAAAATCCATAAGCATAAGAAAACCGTGTTCAAAACAACTTTTCTCAAGTACAAAATCCAAACAATGATCATTTTAGACGACTAAGAGATGGGTTCACAGTAACGGAGTATTAAATATACATGTTTATAAAAGCTGGATTCACTATATCAACTGTTAAACACATGGTTATTGGAATTCCAGACATCGACGATCATATTAACCATACTAATTGCGGTTTGAATTTTGAAACTATG